TTTCGGCAAGAGTAGCCTGGCTTGTGGTTGTGTTTTCGTCGTCGCTCTGTTACTACGTCATATGCTTCGTTGATCTGATTGGTTTATTTGGCCCGTCTATCACCAACATAGGCTAATCAGCTAACCAGTTTTTTTGCCCCTTCCCAAAATTACTTCAACGGAAGGTTTCCAGATGGATATGCGGAGCAAATCCATCTGGCGGAGTCAGGTTATACTTTTATATCCTAGATGCATGTGAATTTGTTTCTGTGGCTCATGCCAACCCTTTTCATTTTGAAAGAGGAACTAATCAAAAACTCGAACTGCCTTTGACAAAGCAGTACTTTTTTTCTTTGTATCTGCGGCTAGAAATGTTAGCAAAGCATCTTTAGGCTGTTCGCTCAAAGTGTCAAATTTGTAACTCGGTCTAAGCTAGGCTTACGCTAGCTTCACTGTTATATTGTTATATTTAGGAAAGTGAGGCTTGAATGAACTCTCATTTATGGTTGAACAGATATTTTCATTTCTAATTAGTCTGCAGCTACTGGTGAACAGTTTTTCTTTTTTTTCATTTAACCTTTGACCTCCAGTTGACCAGTAATCTTTTGTCCAGCATTATGTTTCTACAATTATCAGTTGATGACACAGATGGCTGTTGGAGATGAAGTCTGAATTAAACTCTTTAGAGAACAGCTATTAGTCTGAAGATGCATTTCTAAAGTTAGTAACCACAACTAAAGAAAACAGTAGACATACAAGTAGGAGACAACCTACTGTACACATGCATAAAAAGCCTGTTGAATTTGTATGTATGCATCAAATGCTTGAAATGTAAGTGGAGAGGAGTTTACATCAGTGTGCTATTTATGTACTATTACGTGTCTGCACCTTTGGCAGAATTAGGAATTGTTTACTAAGATTTTGGGAAAAGTGATGGTTTTTAAAGTCATATAGCCTCTTGGAGGAAGAATCTGCAACAACACTACTTTGTGCATTTTGGAGCAGCAATTTTTTGTGAAAGGGACTGTAGTTTTGCAACTGCTTCATGCATGGGCTGACAGACATTCTGAGAGAGTGACTTTTGTCCGAACCATAATACCCTAAATACATACCTTGATTGACTACAGGATTCTTCAAACCCATCGGAGCCACTAATGAAACTTCAGGAGGTGTGGTTGGCCTAGCAAAGACTGAGTCAGGGATGACTGAATAAACCGGACTGTCAGTCTCTTCATCAGAATCTCCGGATCCCGATTGGTCAAAAGTGGGAACATATTCTATATAAGCCTTTGTAGGAGCCGCTCCGCTTCCGGACATTGGTGTTGATCCTCCACTGATTTCAGGAAGGATTGTTGACCCGCTGCCTTCCCCGCTTATCTCCACCTTACCCCGGCCCTCTTCAGTAAAGACAAGTTTTTGTTCAATCAAGATGTCTACTTTATACTTTGGAAGAGGGTCTCCAGAAGAAGAGCCGCTTCCTGAAACACCGGATGGAAAACCGCTGGAAAAGCCACTGGAAAAGTCAATGGGAAAACCACTAGGAAAACCACTGGAAAAACCACTGGAAAAACCACTGTAGTACCCCGATCCAGATCTGGACACCTCTTGGTCTCCAGATGGCTGAGGTGTCAGGTCAATTCCACTGTAATCAATGAGTGAAATACCAGAGAACCCACCAGAACCAGAAGCAGACATATCTCCTGATCCAGAAGTACTTGATTCCCCACTAGTATCGATTCCTCCCTGGTTAACCTCCTGCTTTGTGTCATTTTTTATGGTTTTGGACAAATCGACCATCTTTCCATTCACAAAGGTCACCACGGACTCATCACCACTTCCACTACCACTGATGTCCCCACTTCCACTGCTGGAACCTGATCCTGGTGTAAAGCTGCCAGATCCAGATTCAGCTCCAGATGTGCTACCAAAATCTCCAGAGGTGAAGAAATTTGTACTGCCCCTCCCCTCCTCTGGGCTTCCAGATGCAGAAGGCTCGCCAGAAGACGAATCAAAGTGCCCGCTGAAGGTGATGTCCTGTCCTGACCCAGATGTGTCACCGCTGGTGGTGGATGTAGAAGATTCTCCAGAGGGCCCTCCGCTGCCCGAAGGCTCAGCTGAACCAGAACCTGACCCATCAACTCGTGGGGGAGGGGATTTGTCTGTAAATGCACAAAGGAGATGTGATAATGAGCTTTGATTCTCAGAAATTTCCATTGCAGCTTGAATAAGGATACACTTTTTCACTCTTTAAAAAGACCGAAAATGTTTTTGTTTTTTTTCAAAGACCTCTCCTAAAACCAAGAGTTCAATTTATTCCACTGCATGAAGAGGCGTCAAAAAGTGTTATATAAACATTCATACGATACAAATTTGTGTTGCTTAGTCATTTGCAACAGGCTCACCTAAAGGAAAAACTTGACTTGTACTTATCGTCTCGTTGTCAAACACATCTCCGGTGGTATTCAAAGCAGTTTCATTGTATCCATCCATATCCGTTTGGTCTAAAAAAAAAACAGGGAAAAAAAGCTACGTAAAAGCTTTCAACACAAAAATTAGTGTTAACAAAATTTAGGTTTAGTCATCATCAGGATAAATGAGAAAAGGTACTGAAATATGAGTAATTGCTGCTTTTTTTTCTTACCGGGTGGAGCAGAATCAATTTTTATGATGATTTTCTTCTTGATCCTATCTTTAACTGAATCCACAACAGGAATGTGAGCTGAATAAGACATAAATGAGGAAATCGGATTTACTCTTAATGATGAATGATGAATACTTGTCAATTTTAGTCAATAACAAAATATTGAGATTGTCTTTTCTGTGTTATTTGTTATAGATTTGCAGTCTTTGCTGTGACATATTTAAACGTCCATTTAGGTTTTAAACATATTTAGTTTTTTCTTCTTCTCAGGGCAGTATGCTTACCCAGGCTATCCTTTGTACCATCATTTATTCTTCATACAGTTGAATATATATGCCTCAGTACTTTGCTTAAGAAACTAAGTTGCACTTTAGCACTGAAGTGTTTTTGGCTCAGGTTGACTAATAATGTATTACCCTTCCAGCTGTTTATCCTGAACTATCATGATTCTAACCTGACTGATCACTGGTATTTACATGGTGCTCTGCTCATGGTGAGAGCTCAATTATCCCACGTGTGTCCACTCCCAATCAGTGCAAGTCAGCTAACCTTTTCCTCTGGCTTTATAAGCCTTTACAGGTGATCCAGTCAGTGCCAGATGTTTGAAAGCCTTCATTTGGGTAGATTATCCAGCATTCTTGCCTTGCCTTTCCTGCCTGATCACGTCTTGTTTTGTGTCTGGATTTCCCCATCTCATCTTGCCCCTCCTGGATTTTCTCGCTTACTTTCTGTTATTCTGGACCACGGCCCTGTTTTTGATCGCCAAATACGTGCTTCAACCCTCAGCCCCTTGTATTTGTTTGCGTCCACCTGCCACCACAGTTCTGACCCTGCTTCCATTCTCTAAACACATATTCAAGCCTCATTCCCAGATCTGTTTGCCCATCTGTTAGTGGCTTCTGCTTTCAAAGAGAGCTAGTCTGTCTTGCCTTCTCTTGACCTGCGGTGACCCTGCTGTCAGCTGCTACTAAGGAACCAAAGCAAAAGATTCATGCTTTTAACAGAGTTCTGAGAAAGAAAATGACTCTTGTGAGTTTTCTTGAAATCTTTAAACTCATCTCAGTCACTAACCACTCTCTCTCTCCCCAATGGATCCTGTCGCTTATGGTGTGCTTTTATCAGGAGGATGTATTTTTAATATAACTTTTTAATGTTCACATTTGTGTGTAGGTGAAATCTCCGTTCCTCAGTCTGTCTGTTTATTTTTAGTGTAACCCACTATATATTTCTTACACTAGTGTCATATGATTAAATAAAAAATTATGATTTCATTTGAGATTTGTAGATCGTTAGAAATGGAATCTAGGGAAACTCTTGAAACTAAAAGGTGTTTTAGTCCATCCACTGACTCGTTACATCAATAACCAAGAATCTTTGACCTTCCATCTGAAAATATCTGTGCATGTTTTTCTACTCCTTTGAAGCTTCTTTTTTTTAAACTGTCTGCAGCAACTCTCCAAAAATAACTCTCACCACTGCTTTGGATGCATTCAGTGGTCTTTCTAGATAAGCCCATGGTGAGACTTGATCAAATGAAAGGTTTTGAAAGTAATTTAAAATCTGTAACAGTTCAACCAATTTTCCTACTGCCTGTGCATTTAGAGAGTGAAATTGGTTAAACAGGCTTGAAAAAGAATGCAATTCTTAAAACACAATCAACCCCCTCGACACACACCCACACACTCACACACACCAAGAACCACCCAGCCTGCAATGATTGAATCAGTTTGAATAGCAAAATAGTTTTTATGAACATTTCAAATTTCATTAAAAAAACTTTTTTGAGATAAAATTTTTTTTTTTTACATGTATCTTTTTCAAATCCCATTTTTGAAGACTGACAGATCCAATCGAAGGACGATTAGGTTTGTAGAAAAATGTATATTTAACTAAAAACTTTGTTATATCTGATTTCACCTATTCTTGGCTGATGAACTTTTGTTGGCATGGTAGCAATCAAACCTTTCTTATAAATGTTGTATTTGTATGCATGTGTTTGTCTTTGGTTGCACACACTGGTCATAGAGCTTTGAAGGCCTCATTCCGTCACCCTAATCTACAAGCAACCACCAAAGTTGCTCTATCAGGCAAAAATCTACACAACATTAATATGAAAAATTAAAGCCACACTGTTTACTTTGTTACCTGAAGAGTTGAAGCACATGAGTTATTTTGAATGATTCCTCAGTCAATGTACAGCACTTGACACTATCAATGTTACGAGCGGGCTCTCCTCTTGAAATGCCATATATGTAAGAATGTGAGAAGACACACCATCATTGGCCAGGTCATGGAAGAACGTATCGCTTTACAGCCAAAAGCTCTTATATAGTCATGGAGCTAAGGCTCTACTATTTTTCCACCTGCTCGACTACTGGTCATGGCTGAGGCAAGAAACAAGTTTAAACCTTCTGAAGAGGCCAAAAAGAGAAAACGTGAAAGGGATTGTGCATGTGAAAAACAAGAGTCGATCTTGGCAAAGAGTTTGTTCATTGGGGCAGGCTGAAACAAGAAGCTGAATGTAAATCCGCATTTCTAAAACAGAATAGAATAGAATAAATTTAACTTTATTGTTATTACAATGTAATGACAATGAAGTGTAAAGCAATGAAATGTAGTTTGCACCTCTATCCAGAAGTGTTATACAGGATATACATTTTTATTTACATGCGCACAGGGACTATGCATGTATTGACTATAAACGATATAAATTAGACTAGTAAGTTAACACTTTGCTCCTACTATATAGTCATATATCTTTCTTATTATTTTCTATGTTTAGTAGAAGCTGAATATGGGCATAGAAAGCTAGAAGCCTACAAACAAAAGCTAACCTAGAGACCCCGTCCAACCTAGTGGCGGGTCACTGGAGCTCTGCTGTCAGTCCTCCTCGCCACACGAAGATTTCCGGCCTGCCTGAAGGGCTACTCTCCAGAGAGCAGCAGCGTTTTCCCCACCCTCAAAACTGAATCTAGATGCCTAGCATGGTCCCCAATCAAAAGACACGGGAGGCTGAGCGGCTGACTGTTTGTTGACTGGTTGTTGCAACAGTGCTGCGATGATTGAGGCCACTGGGGAGCTAAACGCCCCTAGTGGCCAAAAGGTACACAGTGTGCCTTTCATTAATCTCACAACATAACTATGACACAGTAATGGCTATCAAAAATATATTTTTTTAGCTGAAAACTAAAAACTAAATTTCAATTTTCCCCATAATGTCTGGATTTTGATTTTTGCTACAGAAAAAAACGATTGTATTAATGTTTTTGTATAAACATGTCATTTATATTTTTTGAAATAATATAAAAATCTGACTTAAACATGTCTGAAATGGATAAACAAACATTTTTAAAAAGCCACCAGATCTCTATCCATTTGTATTATTCACTCTTTTTTTAATCAAGTCATTTAAAGACAGTCCATTCTTTTCTCCAAACTAAAAACCCAACCCTACCCGTTCTAACCTTTGAAGCAGTAGGCATCGTAGCGTGAGTGCTCATCAGGAAATCCCGTCTGGTTGGGGAAGGTGTAGATGGTGTGCACCCCGGCCTGGCCACCTCCACAATAAGATTTGGGGGTTGTGATGGGGTAACGGACGCTACGATCCTTGAGCCAGCCTGGGCGGCATTTGTCCAGTCCTCGTTTCCAGGCGGCGTACAGCTGCCCGGGCGTGGCCAGGGTGCTGTTCAGCTTCTGACAATGCTCCACAGCTTCATCGTAAGCGAAGCTGTCATAGTCGGTGGTGAAGAAGACCTCACCTGGCAGGTAGAATCATGCATGAGGACATTTAAAGGGGGTTCAGGAATAGACAATTATTTTCTCACTGTTAATAATTTTTGTGTTGGTTTTCTAACTTTTTATAATAACTATATTTAAACCTTTCCATGTAACACCTGTCCTGCTGAGAGTAACCCACCAGTGGCCCTTAAGTGTAGAAGTTATTCTTACCCACAAAATATATATTGTGTTAAGCTGCCTTATGTTATAAACATAATTAAAATTACCCTTAAAAAGAAAAAAATATATATTCCTCACACGTCTCTATTGAATATATAGGTACAGTGTTTGACAGTAAAAAGTAAATACATTTTTACTTTGTAAAAGGTTAGTTAACAGGTAAGTAGGTTTGCATGTTTATCTCAAATAGCATTACCCTACTTTGCCTACTGGATCTGGATTCAGTTTATTCTGCAAAAGCCCATGATTCCAGAGGAATACATCTAAAACAACCTCACTCATAAGCAGTTCCTTTTCTTAAAGCCTCCCCAACCCCCGTTTCAGCATAATCAGCATTGTATGCAACCACTGCAAAACACTACATTCAACATATAAACAATTTTACATTGTTAAAGTCATAGGGAAGTGGCTGTTCCAAACATTTTCGAATTCTCCCCAGCGGTGCCCGACTTTACACGAGTGAATAAAGTGAATGTGATTGGTCGTTTATCAAGGGGGCGGGATTGTTGTGGTGGAAGGTTCGCACGCAAAGTTTGGTTGCACTAGTAGTTTGGTTGCACTAGTAGTTTGGTTGCACTAGTAGTTTCCCAATGAGTTTCCCAATGAGAAATTCCACCAAGTAGCACTAAATAGGTGACTTGAAAACGACACTGTCAAGGCTATGGACAGCGGAAACATGCAAGAGGAGGAGAGTTTAGTGTCGGAGGTCGTGGATGAGTCTCCTCCGTCATACATTTTTTATTTAGAGGAGGAAAGCGGGGATGAAGATGTTGTGGAAGAGTACGCCAGGGCGGCAGAAGCTTGGTTTGGTGTAGAAGGCTTACAGCCGTACATGTTTGAGCCCTTGCCTCGCCACGCTGCCAGTTCTATTAGCTCTACGCCTGCCGAAGACACAGACGTCCATCCCCGTGAACACTGGAACGGAGCTCAATGGGAAAGGAAATGATTCTTATTTCAGCCGTTGAGTATATAAGCCGTGATATATGAATCAAGATGCTATGACCAAAAAAATGTGATTGACAGATAACTGTTGATATATGATTGGTCAAATTTAGGTGTTCAGGCTGATGTATAACTAACTGGCCTGCATAAGATAACAAAAAAACCTACAGATTTTAAGACAGGACTTTTTATTAAATAGAAATTTTCTAACTTAGGACAATATCGTCTGAAGAAGAGTACATTTATATACATGTTTAAGCCAGAATGATTTGATATTTAAATATGACTTCCCTACGACTTTAAGGATCCTCGATCTTTGTTTTTCTACCAGTGTTTTTAATCTTGCCTGTGTCTTATATTTACCTTTTGATCTGGTGTCTCTAGAAAATTTCACTTTGAAAAACATTAATAAAACTGCATTACTAAGTGAGGTTTCATGTTTTTCTTTGAAGTTAAATTCTAACTTTAAGGGGCAACGGAAAAACGTAAATAAGAGGTTTTCTGGTGAAGCACTTATTGTTAATCTTTGATTATGTCATATTTACTCTGTGATTAGCTTATATCAGGATTTCTTCTCAATTCATCTTATTGCATGATAGCTATAATGCTAGTGCATTGATTTCTCCAGCAGTTGTAGAGGTTCACCTTCCAAACTGCCCACATAACAATAGACATCGTAGCGTTCGCTGGCTGGTCTCTGGCCGTAGGATCTCACTCCTGGAAGGTTTGGCAGGTTACCAGCACAGTTCTCTCTGGGGGACACGATTGGATACCTGAGCAAGAAAAGCATGCACTGTGAAAAGGCTCTGTTTCAAGATTAAACACGATGAAGATTAAAATCATTACAGGTAATGATCCCACTCAAGACGTTACAGTTAATAATATATATGAGTCCTATTAAATGGGTATCAGTTTAGTAGATCGCTATTTTGAGCTGGTGTAGTAGTTGTCCAACTCACCGCACAGTTTGGTCACGTAACCATCCAGCGTCGCATTGGTGAAGGCCTCTTTCAAAGGCTGCAAACAGCTGCTGGGGGCTGGCAATGATGGCTCCAATGCTCTGGCAAGCCTGCTGAGCTTCCAAAAAAGTTAAGGTATAACGACCAGTGATTGGTCTGTAGTGGAAAACCACACCTAAGACAGACAAAAGAAGGACAAATTGACATGTCATTAGTGCATACATTTAACTCGACATGGGGCACTCTGTGAAAATTTCTGCTAAAAGTTAAGGAGAAGCACCTACAGTAATCTGCATAGCTACAGCAACTGGTCATTTTCAGTTTATATCTAAGGTGTGGAAATGTGACTTTTGCCAGTGGGAGGTCTCAGTCTTTGTACAACCTTCCTCAAGCAGAGCCTGATCTTCATAGGTGTTTTTATGTAACAACGTCATGGAATGGACAGCACCCACATAAAGAGAGGCTGCATTGTAGTGAAGGGAATTAATACTCTTTAGTGTCAAAGGCAATATTTCATCATATACTGTAGATCCAAATATTTGAATTGAAAGACTTATAAATCCACCCCATAAAGGTTTCTGTTGAACTACGACATTGGCTGGAGCTTATGTCCTGAGCACTTCTATTTATTTTCTTTCCAGTGAATACCTTGAAAAAAGACAGTGCTTCAAAGGTTGTAGGTTATCAACTATACGGAAAATTTACCTTTGGGACCCATCTCCACATCTTCACCTGGCAGTGTCACTGGGGGGAGAGTTACTATCCCTCCGGACTTGATCTCTGGGATCACAGGTGATGTTGTGGTTAGGTAGGGCTGATCAGTGGGTATAAAACTGATGTCAGGTAAGGGTGTGGTCCTCCCAGGCACAGCACCTTCATCGTCACTCTCTGAGGAGTCAAGATGTTATCTTTAGTACACAACAAGATATTAATCTATACGTCTCATTATATTAAATGGTAACCTTGGAAGCAGATTGCATCATAGCGTGAGTCTGGGTAGGGGTATCCAGTTTGGTTGGGGTACAAGTAGACAGTTCTCACTCCTACAAGTCCCCCTCCACATTGAGGTCTGGGGATGTTGATTGGGTAGCGTACACTTCTGTCTGCTAGCCATCCAGCGTTACACACATCCATGCCATCCTTCCAGGCGAGGTAAAGCTCTCCAGTAGTGGCTAGCCTGGCACCAAGTTTGACACACTGGTCTTTAGCTTCATAGAAACTAAACTTGTCAATGGACATGGAGTAGAAAACTCTGCCTGGGGAGGGAGACCGTTGAAGAAAACAATGAAAACAATACCTCATCTTTTCACTCAAAAGGTAAAAAATTATTGTGTCCTTGTTTAGTGAGAATACCTGACATCTTCTCAGCAAAGCAGTACACGTCATAAGTTTCGTTAACGTCTCTAATGCCATAGGTCCTCACTCCAGGAAAGTTATGCTTATCTCCAAAGCAAGGTTCTCGAGGCTCGTGAATGGGGTACCTAGAGAAGAAAAAAGTGATTTGGGTCACCTTGTTGAGTGCATACAGATATGTACTCTGTTACCAGAGTCTCCCATACTCTGGTAACAGTCATATGGACGTTTTACTGTACCTCACGGTTTGATCTGAAAGCCATCCAGCATCACACTGGTGGTATCCATCGTCATAAGCAGCTTGAAGTTGCGCAGGAGTAGCAATGGTGGCTCCATTCATGACACAGGCTTCTTTGGCTCTATCGAACGTTAGGGTGTACCGGGTGGAGATGGCACGATAGTGAAATACAATGCCTGTAAAAGAAAGTGCAGTGTGAGTCGATGTCAAAAGCTCTGGTAAAACTTCCCATGACATATGGTTTCTTATGTCTCAGTTCTTCTTCAGCCATAGCTAAACACTCTAAACAAAGCTGAGGGAATTTGAAGCATACCCTGAACCTGGATGTCCACATTGTCAGAGCTACCCTCGATGCCCATGGTCACCTCACAGCGGTAGGTTCCAGAGTCTTTAGAGCTCAGTTCTGTTATTTCAATGGTAGCATCACTAGGAACCTGCGGGTAGCTGACCAGAGTCACCCTGTCCAGATATTCTGTAGCCACAGAGATCTTTCCCTTTGTTGCTACCAGAATTTGAGCAGTTTTCTCCTTGGTGATATAGGTCCATTTGATTCGGTGGGCTAAAGGGGCAGAGGTGGGTGCTCCTGGGTCATCCACTGTGTTTTGGTGGAAGTAGCATGGCACCTGTACCTTGCTTCCCAGCAGGGGACGGAGAGGCGACTCAACAGGGATGCTGACATGTATAGCTGCAGGTTAAATTGATGACACATTTTTTTGCAGTGATTAGTATTTAATGAGACATATTATGAAGGAAAAAAGTCTTTGTGATTTACAATAACTACAATATCTATATTCCTTCAAAAATATCCATTGTTTTGTATATAAACATTTCACAGACCAATTACTTTTGCATCTTTTCTTGGAGAAGTGGCCCAACAGTTACTTTTAAATGGATTACTTTGTCTTACTTTGTCTTATGTGTTATACATTACATATATATATATATATACATATATACATAGAGAAATGCTAACTATACTTATTTCAATCAAAACTTTAAAATCTTTTTTTATGAAGCTTCTTAGAGCAGTAAAACAAATACTTGATCTGTTCAATATACATCTTGCATATTGCTCTTTTTATTTTATTTGTATTTTCTCATGTAACAAAATGGCTTCTTACCGTCAGGCTCTTCCAGTGCTGTTGTGGCCAAGATGATGGGCAGAGAAATGCACAACAGAAGTAGGGTTGTCATTTTACCTGGCAAAAATAAAACTGCACAATGACTGTCTGTTTTTTACAAAAGGAAAAGAAAAAACATGCTCAGCGTTCCCAGTTATCTAACCTGTTTGTTATTTTCTTTCACTAGCCTCTCAGTTTATTGCTGCAGAAACAAGTGTAATGATTTAAAAACTTGAAAGCGTTGCCCTTAAAACAACCATATTATAAAATATGATAATTCATCCAATGAAAAGTAAAATATTAAGGTTATTTCTTTGAAAACGTCCCCTCTGCATAAGCCACAGTTTTTTTTTCAATTCCCCTTTCAGTCAGCTTAGATCTTACTATGCATTTGGATATTGCATTAGGCAACATTTAGAAACTTGAAACCAGGCTTCAAATGTCCATTGAAGCATTAGAAAAAATATGGCACAAGATGAATGTCCCTTTTGTATTTCTGAATGTAGGAAAACATGTAGACTTTATAAAGAGATTACATAACATCTCCTGAGGTACATGAATGTGAAATCAGACTTTCTTTTTTTTTAGGCCATTTAGGATAACCAAAAAAATATCTTCTAAGTGTCAAAAGGAGAAGTTTTTTTCTATCTTTCTTAAAATATATGAATTTATGTGCATTTTATTTGTATTTGGTTAATTTTCTCTTTGGTGAAGGCACTTTATAACTACACAACATAATGGGAGGAGTAGATGGGTGTACACATTCAGGCTACAAGCTCATACTTTTTAAATGATATGACAGTATGCTTTGAGTGCATTGGGCTTTTAGAAAACCCACATGTGGCCAAAGTTTTATTTGCTGGCTGATGTCCTGGTATACTGTATTATTTCAGTATTTTCACATAATTTTCTGTTCCTATCACACCATGTAGTTTATGAAAAGTACCAGTCTCTTCTGCAGACTATGATCCTGCCTCTCCCATTCAAAGGCTCTCCTAAAATTCTGAAGTCTTTTAGTTTAATTTTTGTTTCATCAGACTAGAAGAGGGGACATGCTCTTCCTCCTCTCTGATCAGCTTTTATGCCAGTTTCACTGTAAATAAAGATGCTTCCTACTGTTTTCTGACAATATTTCTTTTAGATCTTAGACTTTTGTTCTTTGGTTGATCTCAACATTTTACCCCAAAACACTGCCATCAGTGGAACATGAAACTTGTCTTCCTCTTAGACTCTATAACGGATGGATTTGACCAGGCTGTGCATACCTGTTTGTGAGAGTATAGCCCAAGAATGGGTGATTGTCTTCATAAGTTGAATAACAGGCGGTGATTCTTTTCAAATGTAGTGTGACCATATAGTCTAAAAGATTCACCATCTTGGATTCCCTCACCTGTGGCTGGATAAAGGTTTGTTCTAGGCCCCTTTCCATCCTCCATCTAAACATATTACTGGCCCTTATCTCACCCATCTTTTATCCATGTCAGGTTTGCAGATAACATGACAGTGGTGGGGGCTGGTTTTGATCGAGGTGAAACGGGGTACAGGTAGTAGGAATAAATGCATTAGTCCCTGCCTAACAACTTAAGGCTGAATGACAGCAAAATTAAAGAGAAGATGATATACTACAGGAACCAGAAAAAAATACTGTACTCCACAACATCTTAACGGGTACTGCATGGAGAAATTCTCCATCAGGTATCTGGGCACCCACGTTGCCTGTGACCTCAAATTAAGCTGACACATTACGGGTGTCATGGTTTTGGTTTTGTTGACGTTTATCTCCGACTTTTCATTGGTGTTATTTCCATTCTTGTGTTCTAGGTATTTTTGATTGTATTAGAGTTCTTAGATATTTCCTTTTTTCCCTAGCTCCCTTTTTGCTTCAGTTGAACTTTTGTTACTAAACCTTCAAATAACCATCTCAAGCTTTTGCGTCTGCATTCGGGTCCTGTCAAACCTCCACCCTTTCAAACCTCCACTGTGGGGTGGAGGTTTGACAGGCCTTGCTGTTTCTCCAGACATATGAAAAATCTGACTGACCTCTCACACCCTGCTCGGAGAACCTTTAACCCTCTGCACTCTTGTAAGGGATTTAAGAGTTTCAAAAATACGGGGAAAGAAAAATCGTAAACAACTTCTATATTTGCGCTTAATAAATGCTGATTCTACGAGAGAAGAAATGTCCAACATGGTGATCACAGCTTTAACACAACCATATATACTGCAGATTTTTAATACCTTTAGAGGTAATTTCAGTACAATTCATTCAAGCTGAACATGTGCAATATATAATGCATTCATTGTATGATGTAAAAGTTGTACATATTAAAGATTTCATTAAATTTCATTCAAAAATTTGAATAAAATAAAATCATGAAAAAGATAAGGCAATACCAACTTTACTCATTTTCTCCTTGATTTCTAAGCTGATTAGGAAAACTAAACACATGAAACTGAACAGTTTTAAGGGATAATTTAAAGCAGGTTTTTCCAAAGTCGAGGTCAGGACCCCCTAGAGGTCCCAAACACCAAGTAGAGTGTCCCAAGATGGTTTTCATAATAACTGTGATGTTGGTACACATAGGACCAAAATATATTATAAAAAACATGAAGGTAAATGCCCCATGAAATAAGTAAAGGTAGAATGAATTATGTGTATGTACCATTTATTATAAAAGTCATATCTAAAACATAATTTAAGTAATAGATGTCCAATTTAATTGTAAAATGTACAACTAAGCACTTTAAATTCTGATTAAATTAATAAAAACAAAGGTTAAATGATAAATTAAACAACTATTTTTTTTATATAAAAAAGGGTTGTTTCATATAGATGTAGATTTTATGTTAATATAGATTTTGTATGTATAAATAAATATGTGGTAAAGGTAGTTAGCATTTTTACGGGGTCTCCAATCTGTTGTATTATTTTTTTGTGAACCGTATTTAAATGTTTAATTCAATTCAGTTTATTTCTATAGGGCCAATTCGCAACATATAATTTCAAGGCCCTTTAGAGAGACAGTTAACCATCTATGGTTCAAGAAACCTTTACGATTACAAAAGTTGTGTTCATAAGCCCATGAACTGTTAGAGGGTCCTGAGATCCTTTAGAGAATTTGAGCTTAGAGACTATATATATATATATCTATATAGAGAGAGAGAAAAAATACAAGGTGAAATAGAAAAAAACAAATGCTTCAGTTGAGATGTGGAAAGAAGAGAGAAAAAAAGCTTTGCAGTAAGCAGGCATTGGCAGATGTAAGGATATGATACAGAGAAGCTGTATCATATCCTTACATCTGAGAAGCCAGCTGGCTGCTGTTTTTACAAACATATTGAACTCAAATGAGAGAGGGGTCCTGATTGAGGAGGTGATGGCGTAGTGGTTAGAGCAATGGGCTTGTGCTCTGAGAAGGTTGAAAGTACCTGGTTTATCCCCACGGCCTGCACTCTGGGTCCCTGAGCAAGGCCCATAACCCCTGATTGCTCCTCAGGCACTGGACAATGGCAGCCCACTGCTCCTCAAGAGGATGGGCTGAGATGCAAAAGTGAATATCTCCATTGTTGAAATGAATGATGTTCAATTATTATGATTGTCCATTCCAAAACTATTCTGTCGGTTAGAAGCTATAACGTTGGTGAACTTCTGGTCTTTGTCTTAGGATAATTTTTTGTGTTTATTTTCCTTTTTCAACGCATTAGTCACTTTAAAATATCCCCGTTTATGTACTTTTTGTGCCACAACGCAGCCTTCAATTCATCATTCTCCTTGTTGAGTTTTTACTGGAGGTGTTGCAAAAATCTGACATTCTAGCAGCCAGTTGGCTTCTCAGTAACCCTCTGTATCACATCCTTACATCTGCCAATGCCTGCTTACCGCACAGCTTTTTTTCTCTCCACTTTCCACAGCTCTGGCTTGCAGCACTCCCAAAACCGTTGAAGATCTCAACTGAACCATCATTGTGCTGCATTCATAAGGTCCAAGTTAGGCACCAGAAGGTTCCCAGTTCATTGACAGCCACAAAAGAGACATGTTTAAACCTGAAGCTAACATTCCGTAGGACAGCCAAGAAGGTGACCAGTCAAGACTTATTCATGCAGTCTTATATATTTTCAAGCACAAGATGATTAGCATGAAAAAGAGTGTTTGTGTATCTGGGGCACAATCATTCCTAAAATTCAACGAATTCAGCACCAGAAAACTAAGGAACAATATTTGTTACCGGCAGGAAGCTCTAAATATCCTGATCTGTCAATCTGGATTTTTGGTTCTGTTCAATTTATCAATTTTTTACTTTTCAGTTACACTTTAATTTATTCAATTCTTTGTTTTCTAAGTTATTAGTTTACCATTTAGTGTAATCTAAGTTATTTTCCAGTTAAATTAACTTGTGGTACTCTCCCCATAGTTCCCTTCTAGTTACTTCTGTCCACACCTGCTCACAATCAGTTGATTACTCCATTCATTGTTCTGTTTGACATTTATACTCCTTGGTTATTTCTGGATTTATGCTTCTGCCACCACTCTAAATATTAAATTTGTAAGAAACCACCTCAGCCTCCGTTTCGGCACTTGGATCCTATACAGACCTCCCCCGTCCCTGACACTAAATACCACTTTACTCAAGGTAGACGTTTAAAGAGATCCACCTGGAATATTCTCTCTCTTACTCACTTTTAACAGCTATGTGATTGTTAATATATCCATGACACATTTTTGGAATTTCTGATTCTCTCTCTATGAGGTTTAGCTTTCTCCCACTTTAATGACCTCACAGTGTTTTAAAATAGGACATCATAACCCATAAGCTTTTTAACCCAAGATTTTTATTGAGGTTTAATATGATAGACCAACACAAATATTTCAAAAAATTAAAGCGGAAGGAAAATGTTTGGATTCAAAAGCTTTCACAAACAAAAATCTTAAAAGTGTGGCATAAATTTCTATCCCAAAAAACTTTGCAAAATCATCTTCTGTGCAACTATGCTCACTACATTACTTCAGATTCAATGAGGGGAATCTGCTCTATAAAAATGTAGGTAAGCCAATTTTCCTTGAAATTAGAGTATTCTAGGAGCTGTACATCAACTCCCTTACCAAGAGCGCCCGCAGAGGATGTACTTCCCGCAGCAGCTGATAAAATTCAAATTGCCAAGGACAATGATGGTGCAGTTCTACTCCTCCATCATTGAGTCCATCCTCAGCACCTCCATCACCATCTGGTACGCTGGTGCCACTGCCAAGGACAAGGGCAGACTGCAGCGTGTCATCCGGTCTGCAGAGAAGGTGATTGGCTGCAATATTCCATCTCTCCAGGATCTGTACGCCTCCAGGACTCTGAGGCACGCAGGGAAGATGGTGTATAACATGGTGGCTGATCCCTTGCACCCCAGCCACCAACTATCAGACACTTCCCTCTGGCAGGAGGCTGCGGTAAATCAGGACCATAACCTCACGCCGCAAGAACAGTTTCTTCCCATCCGCTACCAGCCTTATCAACAATGCCCAGAGACCCCCGTGACACTGACACTGCCTCTCTCGTCCCACGTTGAGGACCTAGAAGCTACACCAATGTAGCATCTCCAGACCTCCTGCATTACATTAATGCACAGACTACTGTGTATATAGTACATAGCTATATAGTATATATTGTATATAGAATATTGTATGTTTTATATTGTATATTACTATAGATCCTGTATTCTGTATGCTTATCCAATATGTCTGCACCATCAACACCAAGTCAAATTCCTCCTAAGTGGAAACCTACCTGGCAATAAACTTGATTCTCATTCTGATTCAGCTAATTGAGACAAAAAGTCAAACTAAGAAAATGATTTACATTTCCAACGAGAAAAAAATGTCTGTGATCTATCCAGTGTTGGGAAGTATTGGAATTAGTAACAGACATTTCTTCTCAGTAACGGAATAATCAACTATAATAATCAATACTTTTCTAACATTCATAACGCTGTTCGGATACTTGCAACCTAAAGATGCAATTAACATTTGATCAATCTATTAAAGTGACACTCCTTAAGCACACCCTTTCTGCTGTGGAGAGAAAGAGAGCTTTCAGTGCCGAAGTGAGTCGATAATAGATTACAATGTGTTATCAAAGTCAAAATCTTTCTATTGTCACTTTTTGACCACACAGATCTGATGAGGTTGGCAGCATCTGTCATATACTGTATATATAAAATTGGGTATACAATACCAGGGTGTCTGCAGTAATACAGGTCTACAGGGGAACCGTCTTGCACACTGCTACAGCTAGCCCTACCTAAAACTCTTTAAAGCCTGTATGATTGGAGCTTTTTAAATAGTTTGATCTAAAACAGGGATTGATTACATTTTTCATTCTGGGACTCCTAGATTGATGGAGAGGGTGTGCAGGTACCGCCTCGCAGAGCTCGGTTCCTGACCACGAAGATATAACCGGTTATCAGGTAGAAATATCGTCTCCAGTTTAAGCAAAATCGCAGATGTTACTATGTCTGATCATTTGGTAATGAAAAAAAAAAAGTATCTCAGAGAACAACTTAATTTGTGCTACAGTAGCTGATGACCCCATGATGAAGTGCTTTGATTTAAACCAAGGGTTCCTACCACTTTAATTCCTTGACTCCAAAATTAATAGACTAATGCCACCCCAAAAAAATACATTTAATGTACAAATGTATGAACAAAAATATAGAATGTATTTATTATTTTCATTTCTAAATACATTTATTTGTTAATATGCATTTCTAAATGTTCTTCTAACAATTTAGATGTACATATAAATGTTTGATAGTACAATTTAGATTGTTAAAGTTATTAACTGTATTATTCCTATCAATATAAATAAAATTTACCATCCAAAATGTAATATCAACATATTTCATGGTACATTCATTTATTTCATTGGACAGTCACATATTTGTACTGTATTTCATGTCACATTTGGGCCTCCATAATGAGAATAGTTCAGATATCAACTGATCTAACCTATTCTATTTAAATAGATCAGCTTCCCTGTTTCAGCTGAAGCAAAGTATGTCCGCAGCATGACACTGGTGCCACTTTGTATTACAATGGGGATGGTGTTTTCATGGTGATGCTCAGTGTTAATTATCTCACACAACAGTGAGTGTCAAACTAATATCCCTTCATTTGTTCTTTGTTAACAGTCTCTGAGATTTGGGTCTGATAAGCTCTCCTGAACAGTTTGTCTGTTTAGGGCAGGTCCTGGTAGGTTTCCAGTTTAGCCATTTATAGAACGACCTTACTAATTCCTAACACGTCTTGTGGTTTACTTTGTTCCTCATGTTGGCCTTTGTTCACCAGCGTCTCAAAGAAACCTCAGGGAAAACATTAAAACAGACACAGGTGACTAAAATGTTTGTATTTTAACTGATGCAGCTTGATGCAAATCAGCAGCACTCTTTTTGTGGGTTACATTTTGGTCTAATAATGGGTAATGGGTATTAATACTTTAGATACTTTTTTTTTTACATAAAATAGAATTTGCCTGAATGGGCCTCTTCAGCTTCTAGTAGCTGCTCATTTACAAGATCTCCTGTTGCTCTTAAACGCATCATTTAAACTGAGCCCACTGTGTGAAATGCTCCAGCATCTGTTAGCGAGTTTCCCCAGGTCAGGTCAAGCCAATCATCTCGCCCCTCCACACTGTGCCCATTCAGTCACTGGGGTGGCTGCTGCTCCCCAGGTCCGCCACGGTGGTATGTTCTGTTCCCAACCGACCTGGAGGCCAATAAGGCTCTGGTCTGTTCCTGAAGCAAGCTAGGGGTGGGGCCTCTGAATGGTGTGACCCTGCCAAGGTAAACACAAGGCGGGCATCCAGAGACCCACCCCACCTCCACCCCTGTCCACCCACTCTCCTCTCACCCTCCTTCATCCTACAGCAGCAGAACAGAGCGGACATTGATAGGCGTACGCATGAGGAAACACAGAGTGTTACTCATAGATGGCTGCGGGGATGTGAAGGAACTCACGTCTGAATCCTCTGGTTAAGAAAACTCCTGGAAGTGTTTGCGCACATGCAGAGCTACTGACACATACTGTACAGGCTGTGTTTCAGGAGCACACACAGACTGTTGTACAGTGGGATGGGCGGGATGCAAACACTCCTACTCACACTAACCTGTGGGTGTGTTGGAACATGAGAGAACCCTCTTCAGTCAAAGATCAGGGACGTTTCTCCCTCAGTGTGTAAGACAAACCCAGAGGATTCGCCCTACAAGCTAAAGCATCAGACTGGACTCTGAGGAAAAAATGTCCCCTTTAACCCATCTCTGTCTGCTCAAGTCTGTGAATTACAATTCAGAGCATGTGCTCCTCTTGTTTAAAGTAACCATGGCAACGGGACATCGCTCTGCCAGTTTTCCAGCAGTCCCAAAATCACCAACTGGGGTTTGATGGAATATCGAAAAACTATGAGAACTTTCACGCATTTTATATAAAACAATCCTTTTCTGTTTCCCTGTAAATCACATGGTCATATATTCATACCGCAGTTAAATTCTGCTGGGAAACACACTTTTTATAAACTGTGGGAAAAACAGGCCATGTGTGGAACAAAAATAGGAAAATTGGGAAAGGTGACTGCAGGCACTGACAGCTTCATAATGTGGTGCCAGGGGCACAACAGCATTTAGGCCCAACATGATTCATACTCCCATTAGATAAATAAAAATCAGTTCTATTCACCCAAGGTGTTTTTTTAATAATGAGCTATGAATGTGACAGTTAATAAGGGCATAATATATCCATGCAAAATAGGTTATGGTTAGAAAAAATATATTATTTGGATGTTTTACTTTGTACTCCTAATAATACATGCAATATAATAAATTATTTTGTTTTTTACTGCAGTTAATAGAGGAAGCAGGCAATTTTTATTTAAATATACATCTATAAAGCTTAGTTTACTTGTTAAAGACTAAGATTGCACAAAGAAATTAAAAATATATCAACTTTTGGCTTTTTTTTCTTCCCACAAATGTTTCATTAACTTTGGAGCTTCAAGGGTTGAAGGTTGGAAGGCTTCTGTGCCATCACCCTAATCTTTAGCTTCCTGAACAGCTTCTTAGTCATTTTCAGTTCAGGACTGCGGCGCAGCCAACCGGGAAAATTCAGTCAATATGACAGTAAAATGAAATGATCGCTTTGAACCTAAATCTGCCAAACGTATGAATCATTTCGGGCTGTGCTGTAGCCTATACTGAGAATGAGGTGATGCATGAAATAGAAAACATTCACAAACAAAGTGACAAACTCAGCTATAAATGATTATATTTTACTCTTGGCATAAACTGAGACCAAATAAACAATGTACCCCAAAATCTTTACAAACCAACGGTTTGTACTATTTATAAAATTACTTATTAACAAAGTATAAAATTACAAAGTAGTAAAAATAACTTCAAAATTATCCTCCAAAAGTTTAGAAAAACGATCAAAACCTACACCAATCTACCTAGGCAGAAGTGAAGAGCCATTAAAAGCATCTTCCACTACCTCCTCTGAATATTCCTTGCTGTATTGTCCAGTCAGGTGGATGGTAAACGTACCGTGTATGCTGCCTTGCTCCCGGTGCCGGTGACTCCAGGGGCCTCTTACTCCTGCCTGTGTAGGAGTACAGAAAGAAGCTCTATCCCACTCCCACACATTTAGATGCTGGACACAGAGGGAGGGAGTGAAAGAAAGGAGGTGGGGGAGATATTGCTCAGCCAGTTAGTGAGGTCATGCAAACTTACTCTGATTTTAAGCCAGTAGTACAAAAAAAAGGACTCTGCAGAAAAGTTTTGATATGCGTTGTGGATTTAGAATTTAGGTTTATTTGGTTTTCAGATGATCGATTAGATTTGTGTAGAATCTGAAATATTCAAGGCCCCTGACCTTTACCTACTTTCTTTAAATGATTTGTTGGGATTTTATATAATAAGGAAAATCTTTACTGTTTGATGTACTTTGGTGCTCCTCCTCCTCAAAAGCAAACTGTCATACGGCTGTTCCAGCTTTCTACACCCAGTAACAAAAGAATTATGCAATTTTTTCTTTTTAAGTCAATTCAGTTTATTTATATAGCGGCAATTCACAACACATGTCATCTCAAGGCACTTTACAGTTCACCAGATCATAGTCAAAATTATTCAAAGTTTTCTATCTAAGGAAAACCGGTTGATTGCATCGACTCATTGACTCGAATGCAAAGTGGGATAAATGCCGTCTCTCCGAATCAGACCAGGCTTTCCCCAAAAGGATTTCCAATTATTAATGTAGCCCACGTTGTTTTCAGGACACCACCTAGACAACCAGCGGTTGAATGACGACATCCGGCTAAACATGTCATCACTGGCCAGATCAGGGAGGGAACCAGAGAAAATAATGGAGTCTGACGTTGTTTTGGCAAAGATTTTTAAGATTTCTCCAGACTGAATGGAGACCGTTTGGTAACATTGAGTTTTAAAGTGTTGCTAAATATTGATAATATTATATAACAATAATAATATTGTTATTGTTGTTAAATATCTAATATAAGAAATTTGCTGCCATTTTATCTGCATTTTTAGCTTCTAAATAAGGAAAAACACAAAGTGAGCTTGGGGGTTCTTTAATGGGATATTATTTGATTATTTTACCGGGAGAGGGGTGGCCGAGCGGTTTTGGCATCTCATATGGAATCCAGAGGTTCTGGATGCAGAGAGCTAATTTCGTTGCTCTGTACTTATTTCAGTGTAATGACAATAAAAGCTGGGAAAAAATGTAAAGAAAACACAAAAAAATATAATTTCCAAGTTAATGTTTAGGAAAACAAGTCGAAAAACAAATTTCCATTTAATCTCATCCCAAAAAAGTAAAAAAAAAAAGCAATCCACTGGAAGTTTGAAGATGTTTCGCTTCACATCCAGGAAGCTTTATCAATTCAAAATGTCAGAAACAGCTTTGATTATGAGTTGACTTTAATCCCATCCTGTCGTGAAAATTCAATCAAACATATAAAAACCCCACTAAGGCTGCTAGGACTGTTTTTTGATTGAATACTTCATTAGACCAGATTACCATTTTGAGCAGATTTTAAGAGTAATTGCAGAGGGTCTAAAGCGGAGCTTTTGGCTTTAGAGCCGCATGTAGTAAACTCCTGGTATAAATGATCCACTGCCTCTCTGGCTGGATGTTTAGAGTAGTGTTGCACAGCATCGGGCGGGGCCCCGATCCAGCACTATAATGGTGGTATCCGTATCAGCGAGTACCAACAAATAGGGCACCGATACCATTTTGAGAGCCAAAAGTTTATTTAACTATTGTCACCCATTCCAGGTGGGCAATAAAGTTCTACTGAATTAACTTTGTATTAGATAGCTTATTACACATAAGTCCTGAGGATTCACAAATCGGTGTATGTTGCTCCTAATGTTCTGTTGTAGTTAATCTGAACGGAACTCCTGTATTACTTTGTCTCTCACCAGAATCAAGCAAACTGCAAACAGGATCCATTATATTTTCCATTTCTTAATGACTTTTCTCCTTTTGCCGCAATGGCTATAATTGTGGAGTAAGCATCAAACAGATGTCCTGTTGGCAGATCTCACCTCTCACCATTACTATCGTATCATTTCCATCTCAAATAATGAATATAACAGAGATTCAACAATTACATAAGCTCTGCACGTTGCTTAAAACTTCTCCACAGATTTTCCTGTGACTCGTCTGCTGTGTTCTTTGGTCTTGATGACATCGTTTCTCAAAACGTTACTAACAAACATAGAATACATTTGCAAGTTTATTAGAAAACTTTAAATAGAAGCACTTTGTTTTCCTTTGAAGAATACAAATAAGAAGCCAACCTTGGGAAGGAAAATGTGGCTTCGTTCTTGTACTTTTAACTCCCAAACCTCTTGCACTATGAAGCAAATCAAATTAAGGACGTTTTAAATTATGCAGAGAAAATCAAAGACGTTAGGGGCATGATTGTGTTTGGGTGGAAGGAGTCACCGGGTTTGTTTGTTTTAGCATCTTTTTAGATGCAGGTGGGCGCCCATTTCTGCGTGCATACAGTGCCCACTGTGTCTGTGTGCAGCTTAAACTCAAACAGGCTAATGTTGGCCCTGAGGTTGTGGAAAGGTGTGCCTCCCACTCATCTCCCACCCAGGAACTATTCAGAGTTGTAAATACAGGCTGTGTGCGTCGACACACTGACACACACCCTGCCTCGACGTCTTCAAAAGGAGAGGAGGAAGCCGAGAACAGCTGATTGGTTGCCATTTCAGGCTTGTTCTGAGCGTTGGGTGTTTTTCCTCTGCTTTATGTAGATGAAACAGGAACATGAGGTTTACTTACCATCATTCATGTCAGTCAGCTTTTGCGTGGGGATATATTTGAGGAAGGCTGGCACCCCAATAAATCATGTTTGTTCTGCTTCTAGGTTCATTTCTGTAACTAGTTTTTATAGATTCAAATACAGAGCAACTATAGCTTTCCTTTTGTATAGCAGCAGGTATTGTTTGACACTTGAGGGCCTTTTTAATGGAGTCTTTCTGCTGGAAAGTTATTTTTTCCCTAATTGGGCTACATTTACAGTCTGAAAGCTGTACAAAATGAAATAGAAGTTGTCTACAGTAACAGCCATTCAAAATGGCCCTTCCCAGTCAAAAGCCAGCCAGCGAATGGCAACAAAATTGCCTCCAACCTCCAGCCACTTGTGTTCTGATATATTTTTACAATAACTCCACCCTTTCACTGAATTGCAGGATCTGACCAGGAGATAACGCTTCTCTTTAGATCTTAATGTCCACAAATCATGACAGAAAAAATATTTTAGATGTTTAAAAAGGAATTGTAGGGGACTAGCCAAGTACCGGCCAAGTGCCGGCCAAGGTCCTGAGGCCTTTAATCCTATAGATGTTCTTCATGTGATAGAAGGCTGACTTGGTATCTGCCTTTATGAGCCTCTGAAGGTTCATGTCTGAGTCCATCATGACACCAAGATTTTGTTAGTTTTTAGCTGTAGTAGCTAAAGCTGTGGGTGTCACATTAGCTGCTGTGACCCTCAGACCTGCAAGTCATCCCCAAGATCAGCAGCCGGAGCCATATAAGGATGGAGACTCAACCTGCTTGGTGTCAGATTCTTCTATTCTAACCCACCTGTTCTTCTCCTTTGTCCAGTTCGTCTGCCTACCTGAACCTCTTCCCTTGCCTGCAGCCTTGGACTCCCGGTTAGGACCTCCTGCCTGCCTGACACCTGATAACGGGGATAGCCCCTAAACACAGTTTGGTGCCATGGATATGACCACCACCTGCCTAAACCAAGAAACTTCAAATAAACTCAGTCTAACCCTCCTAACCACACAGTCTATGCTTGCCTGTAGCGTGACAGTGAGCTAACTCTGGATCTTTCGTCCGAAGATTATTACCTCTGTTTTGTTTTTATTCAGTTGTCAGTTCGCTCTCAATCTGCAGGTTTACTAGTGGTTCTTAGAATTTCTAAAACTAGAATGGGAGGCAGATCTTTTAGTTATCAGGCTCCTCTCCTGTGGAACCAACTACCAGTTTTAGTCCGTGAGGCAGACACCCTGTCTACTTTTAAGGCTAGGCTTAAAACGTTCCTTTTTGATAAAGCTTATAGTTAGAGTGGCTCAGGTTATCCTGAGCTGGAGGACATAGGGACCCCCATTTCATCATTCTGCTTCATTCTCTCTCTATTCTCCTATTCTGTAGAATCTGTTAGTTCAATCTTTCACGTTCTGCTCTCTCTGCTTTTTTCCTCAAAGTAGCTTTGCCTCGTCTGTTCCTGTTTGGCTGTGACGCCATCCTGGAAAGAAACATCAGCTGTGCTGCTTCCATCAACACCCTTGTTTATAGATGCTGGAGATCGGCCTGTTTTCCAGTGTGGTCCTGTTTCTCTGACTGTGACTAACTGGATGTGCTCTCTTCATCCTCTGACATGGGAGCTGGCTCAGAGCTCGTCGGCCTGGCTGTGTGTTTCCTGGACGGGGCCGCCTTTTACAGCTGCTTTTTGTATCTCTGCTTCTGTCTCCTTGAACCCCAGTCGGCCTCAGCAGATGGCCGCTCACACTGAGCCTGGTTCTGCTGGAGGTTTCTTCCTGTTAAAAGGGAGTTTTTCCTTTCCACTGTCGCTACAAGCATGCTTAGTGTGAGAGATTGTATTTGAGTCAATGAGTCGATGCAATCAACTGGTTTTCCTTAGATAGAAAACTTTGAATCAATTTGACTGCATGATCTGGTTGAACTGTAAAGTGCCTTGAGATGACATGTGTTGTGAATTTGGTGCTATATAATTAAAAATTTTTTTATTGAAAATATGGTGCATCCCCACGTTGATCTGTTTTAAGCATTTAATCAACTCTCTGATGGGTTCATAGACACCTGCTGGCATGTTATGAAAAGCTGTGTGTCGTCTGCAAAGTTATGTTAACTGATCTGGTTGTTTGCTATACTCTGAGCTAAGGGGAGCAGTTACTGTAGATATTGAATAGGAGGGGCCCCAGAATGGAGCCTTGAGGAGCCCCCCATGTGATGTTTCTGGTCTCTGGTTTAGAGCTCCCTACTGACAAATAGAAGTCCCTGTCCCTCAGGTAGGATTTAAACCAGCCCAGTGCTGAACCAGAAAGGCCAACCCTAATAAAATCAATTGATCACCAGTATCAAACGCTGCACTGAGGTCCAATAATATGAGCACT